GAACAGCTTGTTAGGCAGTTGGTTTTATTTTAACAACATGGTTTTTATACTAAATAATGTTATGTATCAAAGATGAAATAACAGGTTGAAAGGGGAAGAAGGGCTTTGTTTTGCAAAGTAATGTCTCTGAAAATGTTTGAGAAATCTGCCAAGTAGCAAAGTACATATCTTGCAGTGTGAACAAAAGCTTTCAGCCTTCAGCTCCTGCTCGCTTTTTCATTAAGGAATTTGTTTGAAATTTTTTAAAAACAAGAGGCCTTGAATGCATAATTGGAAAAATATGGTGTAGTAGCACAACAGTGTTAATACTGTTTTATGAAAGGGAAAGTATTACTGGAACATGACATCCAGTTCTGGTTTCCATACTTCAGAAGGGAGGTTACAAGTGAGGAAGGGTTCAGAAAGGGCTGTAGTAATTATTTCAAGGTCTTGAAAGCTTGAATAGCTTGATCTTTCAGTGATCTCTGAGGGGAAAAAGGTCCTGTTCAGGTTACCTGTAAGCACTAAAAAAGGAGAATGTCTGACTGTAAAGGGCTCTAGGCAGAAAGCGTAGCACTTTCTACATAACAAAGATTTGTAATGAAACTATTTATGATACTTTTAAAATGATGTGAGTGTGAGGTTGATTAAATACTGACACAAACTCAAGAGAAACAACAATCTTTGTACCACTTAGTCTTATAACAAAGAAAGTGGAAGCTTTCTTAGGAAAGACAGTTTTGTTCCAACTGTTAAGCTAGGTCTTAATATAAGAATGGATGAAATTCTAAGGTTAAGGTAAATGTCCAATTACATGTCTTTTGGTATTAAAACTGAAATAAACATTTGATGCAGTCAAATTATACAAACAGGGGAAGAAGAATAAAATACTAAAAAACTAAAAATGCACAAAAATAGATAGAACTATACATGTATGGACATCAAGTTGAAATAAATAAAGACCGAAAAATCAAAGCTAAAGTGAAAATTAGTTGAATGTTTAAAGAAAAGAGAAAATTTTTTACTCTGGAAGATGGAAATTTGTTATCAGATTTCTGAGCACTCATAAATTATTTGCACCAAAGTTTAACAAAAATTAAGGACCATAATTTAGTACACACAAAAAGTCTGGAAAATAAAATTCAGGCATACATAGGATCTTCTCTGTTGTAGAAAGGGAAACATTCTACAGATAAATTTGAGCGGTTACCTAAATGATAAAAGATCTGTTGCTACCAATATCTAAAACTGAAGCACTGTGGAGGGTATCCAGGTGCAAGAACAATAAGTATTTATCCTAGAGTTAGGAAATTCAGGAATTTTTTGGAATAGACAGTGCCTTTAAATGTTGTAAAAAGACACTTGTGATGGCTTTGAGTAATGGAGAAAGAAATGTGTAGAAACTTCTGAGGTAGAGTGCCTCACATATTTGCATGCCTATACTTTATAAGAAGGGCTTCCTGTTTATTTGTTGGGGGGTTTTTTTGTTTGTTTGCAATCTTCTGCCTTGAAAGGATTTTAGATTAGCGATCATACTATTAGAAGAAACCTGATAGGAATACCTTTGGTCTAGAAGTATTTGAAAGGAAAGAAAATATATGGGAGTAAATGATTGGTAGCAATTGATATGCAAAAGCAGTACAACAGCATTTCAGTACCAGCATATCAATATTTTATATTATACATTGTAATAATAACGAAATAATCAATACTTTATATTATATATTGTAATAATAGCCAAATACAAACTGCTGTTGCCATGTAATGATAAATATACATATACATATATTACATCAGTAATGATAAATTAGTGCAGTTATTTAAGATAATGGTAAGATTTTAATTTTCAAATGGGTATGCACCTATATGTCCTGGTATACAAGGGATATAAAAGAGTGGTTGTTTTTTTCAAGACTACTGAGAAACGTGATGTTCCAATTCAGATTCATTTGAAGACCTGATAAATAAACAGAAGTTAGAAAAGTCTGCACTCTTCAACATTTGGTCGCTAAATTCAGTCTTTGGGTTAATTTGACTAGTTATTTTTGACATATGCACAGTGTCAGAGGCTGGGGTAAGTTCACTGTGAACTTTGAATTTGAGCTTCTAAATAGATAGAACCATCAATCTTGAATAAAAGCTAATATTATGTGCAAGTAGTCAACTATTTGCAGAAGACCCATAGTTTCCTGCCTTCATAGATTATGCCAACAGATCATGATATGGAAGAATAGTATTTCTATTCTTGCTCTTTCCTTCCTTCCACAATTTGTAATAGGTCTAAACAGCAATTACCAAGTGCCATTATTACTAACCTCTAGAATATGGTTTTTTTACATTTTTAATGTTAAAAGAACTGTCATTACTTTTCTTTGAAAAGTACTGTTTATTGACTAACACAGAGAATTAACTGCCAACATTGTAATTGATTGTAATTGATCATAATATTTCAATTATTCATCTGACCTATTATTCAATATATTTTTTGTGTTGGGTTTGTGTGTGTGTGTGGAGTGAGGTGGGTTTTTTTGTAGTGGGGGAAGGGCCACCTCGTGAGAGCGAAAAGCTCTCCTGGCTCCAAGGTGGGGACCCCCAGCCCAGGCTGGGCCAATGAGCACTAGAGAAATGCCTCTGAGAATCCATATTTGTGAGGGGAAGGACTGTCCTGAAAAGGAGAAAGTAGGGTGAACCTGGAGGAGAAGCCATTGACCTGAACAAAAGATGACCATCAGCCTAAACAAAGGACAGACAGAGAGAGAGCTTTGTTGCCAGAGGAAAGAGGAGGTGGGGGAAAGACGGAGACTCATACCCAGTTCTGCTGTATGGAGTAGGAGAAGACAAAGTCCCCTGCAGATTAACAATGGAGCAGAGACCCAAGTGTAGGCCATGGAGGACTCCATGCTGAAGCAGAGAAGTTGAGCCTGAGGGCAAGTGTGACTGGAATTGGGACCCCGAGGGTCGCTCGCTGCCAGAGCGGGGGTGGACCCCAGAGTGGGGGGTGAGTCTGCAGCCCATGGATGTCCACATGCCGGAGCCAGAAGCTGTGCCCAAAGAGGTCCGTGACTCCATGAGAAGCTTGCTTTGGAACATCTTGTTCCTGGACTTTCATGCCAGGAAGAGTGGCAGAGTTGAACTGACTGAACCCCCATTCCCTGTCCCCTGTGCTGCTGGGGGGGAAGGTAGAGAAATTGGGAGCAAAGTGATTTGAGTGCGGGAAGAAGGGAGTGGTGGGGGAAGGTGTTGTAAGATGTAGTGTTACATCTAGTTGGATGAATGGCAATTAATTAAATTGATTTTTCTTCCCCAAGTTGAGACTGTTTTGCCCATGACCATAACTGGTGAGTGAGCCATCCCTGTCCTTATCCTAATCCTGTGCCCCCTTTGTTGTGACTCCCATCCCATCTCAGCGGGTGAGGGGAGTGAGTGCGGGACTGCATGGTCCCACTGTGGGTCAAACTACTACATTTTTTTAATGCATAATAAAGAAATATTTTAACAAAAGTAATGCCAAACTAAATATTATAAATATGGAATGGGATGGTCAGGAAGACTCTTCTTGATTTTCCTTTTAATTTTTTCTGTAGGAGGCATTTCTGTTTGAAAGTGTGCATTGCAAAGATGTGTCCAACTCAGTGAAAGATAACCCTAATTATTAGTAATTGCAATTTCAGTTTAGTGCAAGAAAGTGAAACTAATGCAGAAATATTTTGGAGCTTCCAGTACACTGTATTATCTTTCTTCGAATACATGTAAACACCTATTTTATCTTGAAATGCAAGAATTTAGAGTGACTACTTTAAATTTTAAGTAAATATTTCGTTTCAACATCCTAAAATAGTTCTTGTAGACAACAAAAATTAGGGACTGAACCGATCGAAAGGTCAGTTTCATTCCTTGCGTAACTGACAAGCTCAGGTCACTTTTGGGGAAGATAGCCAATGGGGATAATAACTTAGTGACAAAATAGGAAAAAAAAGTAATAATTCAAAAATTACCAGGCTATTAATCTTGTCTTTGAGAAAGAACCAACTAATTTATTTTAGAGAGGGTTAAACCTGAGGTGCAATTTATAATCTTTTTGATAGCCTTGTAATGTTGAAAGATTAATAATGTCATTCTGTATGATTTGTGTCTTGAACTTGAGGTATTTTTGTGAAAAAAACCTGAGGTAGTGATGACATAAGGCGACAAGAAACCTTCACTTTGCTGTTCATTTGCCTAGAGGTGAGAACCGAATACATAAGGAACACCACTTTGTGAAAGAGGATGAACAGCATCACAAATGAAGATTGATCGCACTTTCAAAATTTAGTAGTCGTCATTGAAGATATGAGAATAGTTTGAGTCCAGTTGTCATACATATCATCAGAAAATAAATTGAATTAAGGAAGAAGCAGCAAAATTCCACAAGAGATGGTCAGGTGTTCCCCCTCAGGGAGAAGCAATTTCTTTAACATTTTATCCATAAGCTTCTGTTGTGTCATTACACTGTCTCTGACCTTCCTTGTTAACTTTTCCAAGTTTCAGCACTAGTTTCTAACCTAGGAAAACAATGATAAGAAGCATTCTTTGTTACATATAAACTTACAGTGAAGTTTTTACAGCTGCCGTCCATTTAGTTTTTCATGTTTCTTAGAGAACCTTGGGAGTGTTGGACTGGGGGACTCTCTTTACAGCCAGTCACTGGAATTCATCATGTGCCTTCCCTTCTCCTTTGGAGTGTCCTACAAGGGATAGTGAAGGGCTTAAAATAATGTGATAGAACCCGATCCCTTCTGTAAGCAAGAGCAGAAGAGGAAGTCTTTGCAGCAGAATTGTTAGACCTGGCTATGTCCAAAGATGGACAGCATTTGATTGCATCTTCCTTACTCTAGAGATTACTGTGGAGAGTTTTTCCTACATGTTGTGGATTAGGCAAATGGAACTTTTCATGGTTTATTGGAACTCTTTCCACATTCTACTTGTGATTTGAATGTTTCTGAAAGGCTTACAACATAGCAATTTTTTTGTTTTGTTTTTAGATGGAAGTGATGCAGCTGAGCTTCCTATAAAATTCATTCCTCGGTGTGCTGGTCGCTACCACTGTCAGATTCTTCTGAAGTCTTCCTGCGATGTTCGTGTCTATGAAATTGAATGTGTAGTGAATACAGACCAGGCTGAAGCAGAGCTTGAATTTCTAACTCCAGCTTACCAGGCAGTGATTCAGGATATTCCAATAGTAAGTTCACTTTACTATTAGAAACTAAACTAAGATTCAGGGTTTTTAAAAACTGTACTCTGGATCAATACTGTTAAAATTTACAGTTGTAAAATGCACCATGTAAATACTGACTTGAGTATTATAATTCAAAGTCTATATTGGTCAGAAGATAAACCTTGTTGGGAAAAATAGTTTCTGACAGTTCTTAAAGTAATTAAATTATTAGGTTTGATGGGCTTATTTCTAATATTTCACTTACGTCTTGACAATTGTTAATTTGTTATTTAATAATATTATCACATTGAAAATGAAAAAAAGTTGTTGTTTAATCTAGGGAATAAATGTATTGTTTCTGAAGAAAGGGAGAGATGTTGAGGAGTACAATAGAAAAACTAGATTACACACAATTTAAAAAATATGACAAGCATAGGCAGTAGATCATATATACTTTTATCATACCTATTTTGTATGTGAAACCCTTGGCACATGAGAAGTAAGACCAAGGAATGAAGATGGGGAGTAGACTGGAATATCATCTCCCTCAGAAAATTATTGCTCAAAATTTAAATAACTTTTCCAATTTAAAAGAAAAAAAAATGAAAGCATCCTGGTTTTGCTAGGATAGAGTTGATTTTCTTCTCAGTAGTTAGAAGAGCTGTGTTTTGGTTTCAGTTCAGACTTATTATGAGAACATCATTGATAAAAGCACTAATGTTATTAGTTACTGCTGGAGTACAAGGCCACCGTGTTAGTCTGATTCACAGCTGCATTAGGACTGGGAGGGAGAAGCGCAGTGAATAGCAAAACCCAGAACTGGCATTTGGATGTGCCAGTGAAATATTCCAGATCAAATCACATCATGTTTAGTATATTATCCGGGGCTGACCAGAAAGGGGGGCGGGATTCACACGTTTTTTTTATTCGCTTGGGTTCTCACTCTTCTGGGATCACAGTTTCGGTTCGGGATTGTTGCTCCTCCAGGATCATTAGCTGGGAACGGGCTGGGTTTATCAGTGGGTGGTAAGCAGTTGCACTGGGTTATCACTCTTTTCCGTATCTTATTACTGTTATCATTATCACTATTTGAATATTAGGGGTTTTAGAGTTTTCTTTTGTTTCTATTATTAAACTGTTTTTATCTCAACCTACAAGCCTCCTAATCCTTTCCCCCAATCCTATCCCCTGGGGGCGGGGGGAAGTGGGTGAACGGCTGTGTTGACTGCTGGCCAAGGGCTAGCCCAATGAAACCATCACAGAAAAAAAATATAGGGAAGGAGCTTAAGCTGTGAGAGAAAGGGTAAAGATTCTTTAAGAGATATAAATGATACAATATTTCCTGAGATTTGAACTACGGTTTGGTCTATGTACTTGATACAACCTTTTGATAGTAGAGGCACTGGAGAAAACTAGTGGGTTAATTTATAGAAAAATTATTCTGAGATTTTGTAGACAAAAGAGTGAGGGCAGATTCAAACAAGGAGACTTAATGTTTGGGGAGAAACCATACTGGATGGTCTGTGAAATACTGAAAGTAGACAAGGAACTAGTTCATTAAGATAGAAAAAAAAAAAAAAAAAAGTAAAGAAAATGAAAGGAAATAATATTATAGTGCTATCTTTTCTTACACATAAATTTTAAGATATTAATATATTATTTATTAAACATTGATTTATTGAATGTTACATTAGCTGAAAAATAACTTTTATAACACAGAAAGATAATGAGGTTTTCCATCTCCTTAGAGAGTTTCTAAACAGATTGGCTTTATTCTTTTTGAATTATATTTTTTTTTCTTTTCACTTCTGAGTGTACCTAAGTATATGCTTTTGAATTTCATGAAGGGGTCTTGCTTTTTAACTTTTAAGTCCTGCTTGTTTTCTTAGCAAGGAAATAAAAAGTACCCCAATTGGAGCATATACTTTAAGTGTATGTGTGTGTTTGTGAGAAAAAGAATGTGTGCTCTGTTAGTCTCTCTCTTTCTATGGAATGCATACATGTGGTCACAAACTATGCTCTAAATGTTATACCCTAAATTTGAAACATCAAATATTTGATGACCAAGAAAATATAAAAATGTGAAGTTGTTCCTGTCTCTTTACATCTTAAGCTTAATTTTGTGATTGCAAATTATTTGTTTCAAAAGGTTTCTTTCATGTTCAGTATAAGAAATGTGTGTTACTCTGGTAAGGAGTTAGATATATTTTTATATACATTCATTCTAGGTGGAGCTTCTGCATCTATCAAAAATTTTTCTTTACTTTTATGTTATTAGATAGAACTCATATTTGTCATTCAAATTACTGAACTCTGAAATACTCTATGGAAAAAGACAGATGCTTATAGAGAGTGAAACTGAGGAATAAGGTTGTTCAATCTGCTTAACCTAGTTCCTTGAACCTAGTATTTAGTGTTCAAAGTACTTTTTGCAGACACTAGCAAACTCACTGTCATAACATCTGTGTTGTAGGTGGAACACTTTGTAAAAGGAGTGAATAAAATGGTCAAGTGATTTGCTTAAACTCACACAGTGAATTAGTGACAGAACCAGAATAATAACCCTCCTGAATCTGTCATCTGTAATTGTTTTTTTATATAGGAGTTAAGGCCGAACATCTGAAGTTTCTGTAATTCTCACAAGCATGAGATGATTGTAGTTGTTCCGTCATTATGGAATGAATAAAAATAATATTTTGATGCCTTCTTTTCCTTTCATTTTATCTTCAGCATGAGTATACCATTTAATTACTTTTTTTTCCTCGTTTCCTATTAGAGATGATGTAGTTGTTATTACAGACTTGGAGACCACAGTGATGGAAGTAGTTTGAAAAACTGAGGCACTATACAAATCTCAACATTCCAAACAGGAATTTGCACTCAACTACTAGGAAAGTAACCTCTTAACAACTAAAAATGAAGCATTAATCATACATATTACTCAAACTTAGTTATATGATACTGCAGGTCTCATGCCATGCCATGGGATTATATGACCACAAGTGGTAGTTCTTAGTTTGAGATTGATATAGCTGAACTTGAGAGACTTTCAATGAAGAAAACAAAGACTGAAGTATTGTCTCTACCCCCCAAAATCCATTGTTTATGCCTGACATTTACATACAATTTTCCATGGATGAGGACCATTCTCGAGCCAAAGGATTACTTCTTTTCATAGATCTGATCAATCTTCTCTTTTTTGACAAGGCTGGTATGAGACAAGCCTTTTTCACATAAATGTTAACCTTTTTTGCACGGTAGGAGACCGGATAGCATTATTTTATTTTTGCCTTTTTTTTTTTTTTGCAGTCCCCAAGCATGTATTACAAAATATCTCAATTTCTACCATAATGATCCTGTCTTGTAATAATGTCTGGATGCAAGATAAATATGTTTCTTGAACAGGCTTTCATACTACTTAGTATAGATATTCTTTAAAATAGATTAGTCTCTTGAAAGACCAGTTTCTGAGAATACAGGACTGTAAATACTCCTTTGCAGATGGAGTCTTTAATCAGTAAGCAAGACTGATGCTGTAATACAGTCAGTAGCCAAATGAGGCAATAAAGGCCAGTACACCACAACAGCACTTCAAAGAAATACACTAAGATTTTTTTACAGATGGAAAAGGGAATTTTGGCAAGCATTAAAGAGCATCTTAAAGATACTTGTAAATGTTTATAATGATACTTATAAATTCCATCTTGACACATAGCTATATCATGTACATATTCTTCTAATGAGTATT